TCAACTAATGAAAATGCCAATAAGTTACCAGTAATAACACCAACTAGAGCTCTGGTTATTTTCAATTGACGCGGTTCTGAAGAATTAAATTTTATCAGTGTTTTATGACAGAAGTTAGCTAGAGAGATTTTGTGGCTACTTTCTCCTTTGTTACTGTTGTTAACACTCCCTTCCTTACGCTTACGCGTTCGATATTCTGCATGTTTCAGAGTGTGTTTACGCTAAAATTAAAAACAATAGAAATTACAGAATAATTATAACATAATTATATAAATATTAAATAATCTGTATAGTGTAGATTGTTTTGATAAACTATTTTTTCAATTTTGCATAGTACACGTAATAATTAATAGCTATAATTGAATGGTATTGTAATATTGTTTCACTTACCGACAGGTGAGTACAAAGGTTTGAATTTGCCTTTATTGTGTATGAAACAAACTCTCCACATGTTTTCCTTTTTATTTTTACATTGTCACCATTTGGTTTTAAGCTACCTTCATCAGTGAATCAATTTCATAATATTCGAAAATTAAAGCTGCATCTGACTTACTTTTATTCATTATAGCTTACATGTAAACAGGGAAAAGATTTAATTAATATAAATAAAACAGATTCATAAAAAATAAACGCAACTAAAATATTTAAATTACACCAAAGCATTTACAATTATAATTACACATGGGTCAATTACAATTACAATTGCATGTAATTGGTTAAAGAAATAAACCAATTATAATTACAATTACTTTATAAATTGTAATTAATTACAATTAATTACAATTACAATTGTAATTGAACAATGTCTGACGTCTATATCACCGACAGAAACATGCAATTCGCGTAATTAATTATGTGGATCGCTCTTTACATTCAAAACCTTTCTTTGATGAAATGAAAATACTTAATGTCTACATACTTAACGCCTTTAATGTTTTATGTTTTACTTATATGTGGAAAAACAATTTATCCCTACCTGTTTTTTAACGACCTTTTTACATTGAAACTTACTAATAAATGCTCAATAAGAAATATAGATTTGCTAAATGAACTATTTAGTAGAGCAAAATTTAATAAAATTTGTATTAATTATCGCGTACCTTACCTTTGGAATAAAATAGTTTTGCCTAATTTTGATTTTTTATTCAATTTTCTGTTTTAAAATTAAACAATTTTATTCTTGCTATGGAAGACATTTTACTATTAATATGAAATATAAACTTTATTTATAAGATTTATAGTAATATTTAGATAATTAAATTTATTCTCTTTAATTTATAACAGATCTATTAAATTTATTATTATGGATTTTTATAACCCAGTGGACACGGACGTAAAAAAGACGTCTTTCAAACATCTTAAACACGTTTTGGACGTCTTTTGAACGTCTTTTGAACGTTTAGGACGTCTTTCGAACGTTCAAAAGACGTCTTTTTTTGGTCCGGTGCCCACTGGGAACTGGTTTGTAAGAATTATTATTATAGTTACGTGATTATGATTATGAATTTGTTACTATAAGTTTTTTATTTTTTATTATTTATGTAGTATAATTTTTAGCAGTCGCACAACTAAAAAACAAAATCATTTGCTCATGTATTATATAAAAATGAATATCTCTGCTATTGAAATATTTCTTTAAATTAATCTTTAGGCATTTTAGAACTGAATATTTTTATCCTTAAAGTAGAGAGGGTGTTTTTATCATTAAGGCAGAGAACTTTTCCATTACTGTAAAACTAATGTTTTACAGAAGGCGAAACAATCCCAGCACAGTAATATCCAAAGCTGGCATCCGTTGTCAGGAAAATACAATTTCAGGATCATCAGCTTTTTCAAAAAGAGTCTTATCTGCAACTGGAGATGGCGTCACTTGGACCCGGATCAATAATAATAGCAACAATGTAGAAAAGCTAAATTGCACAGAATTATTTTAAAGTATATAAAAAAAAAAATTATTTATTAAAATTATGAAATAAAGTTTAATGCTTTAACTTGTAATATTATAATAATTTGTAATATATTCTGTAATTTGTTAAAAATCTGTTAAAATGTACTTGTATTCTGTAAATATAAAAACAAATGCTAATTTGGCTAATGCATTATCATTTAGTAAAAACTCGATATAAAGTTCTAATTTTTTGTTTCATTTAAATGTGTTTTTAAAATATACATTCGGCTTTTATGTTAAATGTTAATAGTTAAATGCGGGTCTTGAAAATTCAACTTCGCCTTGTCCTTAATAAAACCGTAACACCATAATTTAAATTACACTAAGTATTTTAGAGATAATAACTAAAGCTCATTTTCAAAATCTGTTAAAATTAAATATAGTGATTTTGTCCCCAAACAGCTAGAATATGTTATTCGTTTCAAAATTTAAAAGAGAAGTTATTTTAGAGATGGGTTAAAAATACCTGGAAAAGATGGATTGGCCGATTAGTCTGTTAAAACGATGCAAAACTTGTTGGAATGGCTATGCGACAAAGCAAAAACAGTACTAATGTGGCTGTATTACATTTGCTGTCACATACAACAAAACAAAAGCAGTTTCAAAGTAGCTGCAATATACTTGCTGTCACAAGAAAAAACGAAAGCAGTTCTAAAGTAGCTATTATATACTTGCTGTTTTATTAATTTTTTTTTAAATATAAAGTTTTAATAAAATCTTCTTTTACAAGAAAAAAACAATCAATTTTGTTGTAATATACCCGGTGGGAAATCGGCTAGCGAATAGCTAGCTATAATCGTAACGATAAAGACAGCGATTTGGCTACGAGGCTACAAATATAGATAGCTTTTCGCTAGCCTATTTAAGTTAGCGAAAAGCTATCTATATTTGTAAAGATAAAGATAGACATTTAGTTAAGAGGACAGCCAGCTTGATAAACTAAAGACCCACTGGCTTTTGTAGCTAGCGTCATATCGTAATAAAGTCTTTGTCTAAAAAAATTTGATATGTAGCTATCAACCAGCTATAGATTTGTAGATATTTTGTAGCTAGCTACAAAGCTACGATATGTAGCTAGCGACACATTTCTACAAAATCGCAATGTTTAAAGTTTGATTATCCTCATAATTATAATAGACTCAACATTAAAAATGGAATTTTTAAAGATGCTAAAGACATTAGGAAATAATAAAATAGGAAAAAAAAACCCGCTAGAAAATCGCTATAAAGCTAGCTAGTTGCTCGCTAGTCGCTAGCTCATTTCCCACCGGGTAGTTAGTTTATGGGAATGTACCATATTAATGCAATAAAAATTTGATTGGGGTGTACCACCTCCGAGCAATAAAAATTTAATGGCGTCGTACGACGTTAATGCAATTGAAATTTAAGAGGGTGTACCACTTATATGATATAAAAGTTTAATTGAGGTGAACTACGTTAATGCAATACAATTCAACAATAAATTATGTTAATAACTTTATTATAAAATAATTTTTAAAAATTTACACTATTAAGTAGTTGGAATTTCGATTGAGTTAATATTTTTTTTAATTCTTTTTAAAAAAAAGATATATAAACTAAAAACCTAGCCTTGTCTAGATAAGCTAAAAATTGAAAAAACGATATTAGTTTTAAAAAATGTCACTTGCGTCTCCAAATGCAAACCGACATTCATTTATATAGATATTTGATAAAAATTACTGTTAAAAGTACCAAATATTTATTTGGCACTTTAACAGCAATTCTTGTATACGTCGTTGGTTTGTCCTCACTTGGAGTTGAGTCACACCTTGCCTGTATGGAACCCTTATTACCAAAAGGACATTGACAAACTTGAAAAAATTCATCTTAGGGCTGCATTAATAACTAGTTTAAAGAGTGTTTACTATGAAAATAGACTAAAAAGATTTAACTTTACTACTCTAAAAACAAGAAGATCAAAAGGCGACACGATCCAATATTATTAAATAATTAAAAACATGGATTAAGTTCAATGGAATTATCCTAACTATCATAATTAAATATGCAATAACAAGAAGTCATATTCAGAAAATACAAAAATAATTCACGCATTCCACCGTAAGATTTTTTTATTTATTTTCTCTAGGTATACCATGTAAAATACACATATAAATGTGTACTTTATATGGTATACCTAGAGAAAATAAATCGTGAAAAAAAGAAAATATATATACAAAATCATTACGTTACAAATTTGTAAATATAAATTAATATAATATTGATACATTAATATAATATGATATATAATTGATACATTAATATAATATTAATACATTAATATAATATTTTTTTAACTTTAATATAAGTTCTGGTGTAATAACTATTATATATATTTATTTTTCTAAACTTTAATACCTCAAAAAAGGAAATCAAAGAAGATTCAGCATTTTTGGGTATAAAACTCCCAAAATTTTTTTTTCGCAGATTCCCTTGAAAGTGCCATTTGGCTTATATCTATATCTATGTAAAAAGTTAATTTAAGTAAATTTAAAAGTAGTTTTTTGTAAGTACCTTTGTAGTTATTATTTCTACTGTTGTTTTTTTATTTTTATTTATTTATTTATTTAATAGGACATAAATTTAACTTCACAAACAGAATAGTTAACAAATGGAAAAATTTAACAATAGAGATAATCAATTCTGGCAATGTGGTATCTTTAAGAACAAGTATAATCGTCTCCAAAACAAACGCAAATATATATATATATATATATATATATATATATATATATATATATATATATATATATATATATATATATATATATAAAGTTACATTTATCCGTTTACGTTTATCAGTTATATGCATATATCCATGAGTTTATTCAGTTCCACTCTAAAAAGTTTAAAAATAAAATGCTAGGTACATATACCTAGCATTTTATTTTTGTTACGTTGACATAACTCATAAAATCGAAAAAAAAAAAAAAAAAAAAAATGACGTCAAATTTCTACAACTAAAAGGTACATTGCATTCGTAACACTTTGAAATCAAAATTATTGTGTGGTCTGCATAAATATTTGAATGAATTTTAATCCAATGGTGCAATCGAGTCCCGTTATTTAACTAAGTGATTTAAATGTGTAACATTTTCTCATATTACATAAAAGTGATGTAACTTGAACTGTAAAATAAAACAATACTAAATTGAATAAATTCATATATATTTTATCGAGCTTACATCAGCAACATCTAGTGAATCAAGTTAAAGTAAGATTTAAATATTTATACATGTGTGTGTGTTTTTGTGTGTATATTAGTGTGTGTGTGTGTGTGTGTGTTTATATGTAAATGTATTTATAAGTGCGCGTTTGTTTCTGATTTTTCAGCCAAAATAAGTTCAGTGTATATTAAGACCAGGATATATATATATATATATATATATATATATATATATATATATATATATATATATATATATATATATATATATATATATATATATATATATATATATATATATATATATATATATATATTTAGCCGGTAAAAATTGTAATGGCATCCCCTCCCTGAGAGACACCTACTCGCGCCAGACCAGTGTATATATATATATATATATATATATATATATATATATATATATATATATATATATATATATATATATATATATATATATATATATATATATATATATAATATATATAATAAAAAAATAGTAATATTAGTAATAGTTATTCCATATTTAACAATTAAACATAAGTTTATGTTGAAATATACAAAGAAATCTTAGGAATTAGGAACAATAAAAAATGGATAAATTTTTTCTAACAAAAATTTAAACTGAAAATAGCTTTCTATCAGAAAATGACAAAAATTATTAACTTATTGGTCCATTTATTCATTATCTTCTATAGTATCAGAGAGATGTGTGCAAAGGTTATGCAGGGTTTGGAATTTTTTTTTCAGTTTGCATACCAAGCATACATCTTACTGAGTAATCAAAAACAGATTTAGGCTAAGGTTATTAGTATAAAATGGTTTTTTATTTAATAAAAATTTCCAGTTTACAACAAAGCTTATTATTTTCTAGCTGCGTTCAAAAAACAAAAAAATATAGTTAACGAGCCACTGACTTCTTTGAATGCATCCGGAAGGATTTTCTCATTTTAGTAAATATATCCTGAAAAGAGTTTTTGCCTTGCCAACACCATTGCTAACGCCTGTTGCAACTCTTTATTTGCTATGACACATATCTGGTCTTAATACACAATACGTTAACAACTACGAGTAAATTAAAGGTCAAATGTCAAGAAGTCAAGGTCAGATCTCAGCAATTAGAGGCATGCAAAAAAATTTGAAAGAAAACTTCAAACTGTTTATTCGAAAGTTTGATGAGTAACCAACTGGTTATGTTTTAATGTTTTAACAATTTTTAAAATGTTGGAAGATTAGCCATCATGTGTATAATTAACATAAGTAAGATATTTGTTTAAAAAGAGTTGTTCAACAAATCAGGGTTGTCCAACACAAGTAGCACAGGCCACGAAGTGACCCTTAATATCCTCAGAGGTGGCCCACACATTACAAATCAATATTGCAAGTTATGACAAATTTAAAGACCAATTTTGTATTGAAAATTAGAAATATTTTACAAAAAATGTTTTTAGACAACAATCAGTGATGAAAGAGTATTTAGTTCAGTGCAACTAAAGTTTTTTGTTGTTGCAGAAATGCAAAGATAAGTAAACCTTTTTCTACTGGAAACTTGAAAAAAACTGAGTAAAACTATTTTGCCTCAAAAATAAAGCATGTTAAAACAGAGCAAAAAAATTAAAAAACGAGCATTTTACTGATACTTTTTGAATTTCATCATCCAGTATAAATGCAGACATTAAAATTTTATGTGAAAAAAATAAAAAATAAAAAAGCAATGCCAAGTTATAGGGGAGAATGGGGGGAAGTGGGACACGTTAGTTTTTTTTCGGGGGTAATTGCAATGTCTTTTTTATTTGATGTATAAACTGAACCAAACAAGTTTTTACGAATAAATCTACTTTTTAGGCACCAATCCCCATAGGTTTCTAGCCATTTATGACTAAGTATATAAATTTTTGTTTTTAGAGAACCCGTGCTACTGGGGTAAAGTAGGACAAATAAATTTAAAACAACATTTTAACACAAATTATTAAATAGAAACTGATAAAATCATCAAGTCACCTAATTGACATAAAAATGTTCAAGAGCTTTCACATATCAAAATAATCAAATGGTAGCGAAATAAAGCGGGGCATAAGTATTTCTTTTTTCTGTCCCTTTACCCCCAATGTAAACACTTTTTTAAGGTACATTTCAAAATTAGGGCTTCTAGCACACGCAGGTAAGCAAAGCTTTTTCTGCTAAATAGAGGGGAAGAAATTTAATTGTTTACATTAAGTAACAGTATTTAGGCAACACACCTAATTAGAAATTTTAGGCTGTCCCACTTCTTCTTCGTCTCACTTCTCCCCAGTCTGCCCTACATTAAATAAATTTTTGTAACAGTTTGTTTAAATTTAAATAAAAAGCTTCTATTTTTTGGAAATTTATACTTTTAGTCCCCATGTTGGCGTCAAAAAAAAAAAATTGGTCCTAATAGTTAAAAGGTTGGACATCCCTTCAATAAATGATCTACGTGCATGCGTTAGAATTCAGCACGTTAATGTCGAAAGAACCGCCGTCTGATATTGAAACTCTATGTGTAAACAATATCGACGACCATTTTCTTAACGTTAAACTATTATTTTAAAGAAAAATAATTAAAAAAAAAAAAAAACTGTCTTGGTTGTTTAAAATTTTTTTTTTCAAAAACCTTTGAGCTTTTATCAAGTACACATTAAATATTTGAAATGATGAGCATCAAACAATAATGTAAGCCACTGAAACAAACAAGCGTAATAACAAACAAATCCTACTAAAATATAAAATTTCTAACAACAAGTAACTATTTATAAAAAAATGTTTAATTCTAAAAATAAACTATTTTAGATTCGCCGGATAAATGTCAAAATTTTTATTATCGGAATAACGTCACAAATACCAGCGTTTGAATAACATTAAAATGTCGGTACTGAGAACATATTTTTAAATAAAATTATTACAGTCGGTTGGGTCTATTTGAAAATGGTTTTTAAAAAAGACTCAAACCCATACTTTGTGCACCCAAATCCCTACTTGATGTCATTTTCTTATACTTTGTTCTATTTTTCATACGCTTTAAATAAATGTGTTTGAATTTATCACTACCATTAAATCAATAGCCTATTCCTAATTGATGTTTGGGATCTGATTTTATAAGAAGTTATTTTTTATGGCGTTTCCATTAAACCCATTGTCCGTGACATCAAAATAGTTGCTTTATTAATGCTAGTAATCAAATAGGCGCAACTTCGATGATATTCTGTCTATATTACATTTCTTTAAATGTCTTTTTGATGTTACTCTAATATTAGTTTTTTTTTTAATTATTGCTCTCAATGTTTATACAAAATTTCAACGTTTCCAATTCAACCACTTTCCTTTAAATTATTTATTCTTGAAATTAACTCCAACTTTCTTTTTTTTTATTTTAGGGTAGAGAGGGGCTAGTTGATCATAGGGGAAAGTTGATCATAGGGGGCAAGTTGAGCAACTAAAATATCTCAAAAACTACGCATCGCATGACTAAATGTTAAAGAATTAAAATGGTAATAAAAGTTGTTGGACGACAGTCAAAAAAGATGCACGGGCACTTTTTCTATTTCGGACCAAGAAAGTAGAAAAGAAACGTTATTGCTGTTTTTTTAAAAGATTTTTAATATGCGATTACTTAAGTGTTGATATTTTACAAATATATCTCACAATCACAGTTAGACGTTTTTTCCTCGCATTACTGTTCTATTTAAAACCTAACTAATATCAAAAACAAAGAAACAATTTTGATAAGAAATAATTTTGCAGTACAATATATATATATATATATATATATATATATATATATATATATATATATATATATATATATATATATATATATATATATATATATATATATATATATATATATATATATATATATCTATGTATGTATGTTTTGTCTGATACTGTATATATATATATATATATATATATATATATATATATATATATATATATATATATATATATATATATATATATATGTATATATATATATATATACATATGTATATAGATATATATATATGTATATATATATATATATATATATATATATATATATATATATATATATATATATATATATTATATATATATATATATATATATATATATATATATATATATATATATATATATATATATATATATATATATATATATATATATATATATATATATATATATATATATATATATATATATATATATATATATATATATATACAGTATCAGACAAAACAAGTGCAACCAAATAATGCTAATTTATTTTTGTTGTGAAAAATTGCTGCATTTTTTCAATTTAGAAAAATAACTATGCAACTGTTTAGAGACAACGGTCTTCAAGTTTTATTCATCAAAATGTTCATTATTTGTACACGAAAATTAATAAATTAATCAAAAGTATTTAAAAAAGTTGATTTCCTTCTAGAAAAAACAAGTGCAACTCCACAAAATGTTGACCAAGCTGTTTTTCGCTATCAATATTTCTTGGCGAATCCTTTGTTGTCGATCACAGACTTGCATCTTCGAGGCATAGATTCGATCAGGTGATCAATGAAACATTGTGGAATCGCTGATTAGGGATCAACTGTTTGAACATATCCAGGCCTTTTGGATATGTTCAAACAGTTGATCCTTATTACGAACACCTTCACAATTATTTCTGCGGTTGACGATCTCCCACAGGTTCTCGATAGGGTTGAGATCCGGAGATTGAGGCGGTCAATCCATCACCGATAGGTGGTTGTCTTGAAACCACTGCTTGACTGCTTTTGAAGTGTGTTTCGAATTGTTGTCTTACTGAAAAATCAATTTTAATGGCATATTCCATTCAGCATGAGGTAACATGATATCTTTCAGGATATTTTTATACATGAAACGGTCCATTATTCCATCGATTCGATGTATTGGACCTAGACCGTTAGCAGAAAAACACCCCCAGACCATTATAATGTCTTATATTCGATTTATCATTGAACAGAATAATTTGCCATTTCTGCACATTCCAGTCAATATGAGATGTAGCAAACAGGAGTCTTTTCTTCTGG